GCCCCTTTCTGCAGAGGGAGGTTAATGAGAGGCTCCCCGTGCCCACCGCGCGGCCAGCAGGCCCCGCATCTCCCCACCGCCAGCGCGCTGCGCGCCCGCTTTTGTTCCCTGCTTCTGCCCGGCGATTTTCATTACAAATATCCTCTTATCAGGGAGGGAACGGGGCGGGGGGAGAGAGGAGGGGGCGGCCCACACAAAGAGAAAAGCTGTAATTACAGGGCTCGGGCTTCCCTCGCGGGATTCACAGGGATTCGACATGGCAGTGTTTCACACGTACAGCCCCTCCGGGGGCCAGCTCCCGTTTCGATTTCATTATCGGCAAGCTGGGCTGCCGGGGGAACTTTTGCCCCGAAACGAGTTCCCAAAAAAAAGGGGACAGTTGCACTTCTTTTATTCTGGCTTGGGAAGCAATTTTGCTGCTTTCCCCCCCAAAGCCCCCGCGGTCACGGTGGTGCGCGACGGGAGAGCACAAACGGCCTGAGCTGTGGCAGCAGCCTGGGAAACCTTCCCCTGTGTGGTCACCGCCTGCCTCAGCAAAACCTGGAGGTGCTGAATCAACCCTTTAAACGTCTTCCAGCCCCGCACACGGCTGGTGAAGGCCGCACTCTCAAGTTGCTTTTAAGGATAGGCAAATTCTCTGTTCCTCCTTTTATAAGCGAGGTAAAAAACCCCACGTATAAATGGATGCACGTAAAGCCTTGCAGAACTGAAAGTTGGCTTTTTGTGCTCTCTCACGTCGGTATTGCTTGATTTTCCTTGGTTCAAGCTCCCTGAATGGGTTAGCACAGTTAGGCACCCAGACACATTTTACACGGAGGTGAAGCCTGGCTCAGAACAACCAGGCTGAGTCGATGCAGGAGGCTGGGGAGAAGAAGAAAGCAAAGTGCCTCCTCTGCTCTGTATGAACAGCACACCTCTCCTACCCACATCCTCGTATACTGGACACAAACTTGAAAGAGGGAGTGTGTGAGGGTAATTCTGCACCACTCCCTGGGGAACAGACCTTTAGCAGAGTTTTTTGTCTTCCCTGTGCTTAGCCAAGAACTCTGGGACATTTGCAGGACACCTCTCAGGGCAGGACCGATGATGAGAGACAGAAAACTCCTTCAGGAAGATGCTTCTGCCATTAGCACACACATTTTTAGGCAAGCTACCCCAATCCTTTGTGTTTTTATGATGTGTACAAGACAAGGAGCAGCACACTGCCCCGCTCTGCAGTCCCAGAGGTGATGTACAATCGTTTGATGACAGATACTGAGAAACCCCTATCACGGACAGGGCCCCATTGTACTGGAGGCCACTCCTGCCCCTCAGAGCTCATACACCCAGCATCCATCCGTGCACTTCTAGGTGCCCGCACCCACTATTCTTGGGCTGAATGCAAAGTGTGGAGTCAGACAGTAAGTTAGGCTTCAGGTACCCCCAGTCTGCTACTAAAAACCAAGTCCCAGGTTTATGGCTTGCCTCCTTGGAAAGCCCATGTGCAAAATTCAGGCCCAAGCTCTGCATTCAGTTTCCAAACACAGCGATTTTTGCTTTGCTTCTGTCTCTTAATTCCCATCGTCTTTTCTTTCTCTCCTTATTTACTTGTTAATTTCCATGGGTCTTAATTTCCTGCCCACCGAGCCCCGCTGAGCCCAGCCTCTGCCTACACGGGATTGCACGCCACAGCCCTTCCTTCTTCAGGGAAAGGTCAGGAACAGGGGTTTAGTGTGCCGAGAAGAAAGGCAGCAGCAGACAGACAGAGAGCACTCATAAAGATCTGGCTGTGAGCCTCTCTGAGAAAATGTCAGGTTGGGGAGGCTATAATAGCTTTAATCTGCGCTACAAGGGGATTAAAAGACTCGTTCTCACAGGAGAAAAAAGAAAGGAGCAGAGCGGAAGGAGCCGAACAAGGGGAGAATGAAGGCTGCAAGGGGAGGAAAGGAGAAAGTTAAAGAGCTCAACTATAAAGAGCATCGGGATTTAAAGAGCTCCGTCTTCCAGCGTAATAAATGTGAAGTGGCCTGCATGGAAAAGGGGCTTTAGCCAATGGCTTTGCTTTTGCTTTTTCACACTAAGCACACACACTTCATCCTTCTTCAATCAAGGCAACTTGTTATGTTTGGCTTTGTTGATTTTCAGGGGCAAAGGAGTAGGAGGGGGAAACAGAAGGTTAATGAGGCTCTGCCAGATGCGCCACTCGAGAGAAGCGGTGGGCATTATATATTTAAACAGTGCTTTATGGTCTTTGATCCTCACCCCTGCTGTCCCTTCTGCAGAACGTCCCTCAAGCCCCCCTTGTCCTCGGGGGCCACGGAAGAGCAAAGAGGCCTGGGAACAGGAAGGAAGTAGGGCACATTGTGGGATGCTCTCCTCAAGTACTGCTTGAGCAACCTTTTCAGGCGCTCAGCGAGGCCAGGAGATGAAGAGAGTGTAATTGAAAGGGTAAGGAAAGAAGGCAACTTTAAATGCTTTTCAGAGGGGAAAAACCACCCCACTACATCCTTTGCAGGAGATGTAAGTGCCAATGAGCCACCAACATGGAAAACCAAGCGGCTCCAAAAGGGAAACGAGGTACTTAGAGCCAGCTTTTAGCATTGCTGATGTATTGCAGGAAACAGCGTTTCTTGGGGCTGGATGCTGAGCACAAATCGAGGCAGGACTGCCCCACTAGATTAGCAGGGACGTTTGGGCATACTCACATTAGGACACTGCCACTGTGCTCCTCCAAGACAGGAGGTCTCTTCCCTGCCTGTACGTAAGTAAGGACACTCCAGCCTTCAACAGCTGACAGCACAGGAAGGTGGAAGAACCCCACAACGTTAATGTTTCCTCCCTCTGAGAAGGAAGAGGGGGATTTCTAACAGCCCACTGTGCTAAACAGGACTGCAACACTTGCTCTGATCATTTATGCTACCTTCTCTGCTCAGCAGGCTACAGCATCAGGGAGATGCTCCAGGACAACACCAGGCACAGTTCAACGTCTGTGCAGGTCCTCTCAACTATTTTAGCAGCTCGGCATAGCAGGGCGAGCCTGCTGTACACAAATTGTACTTGGGAGGAGAGGGGGAAAGACTTTGTAATATAATAAGCAAGCTCCAGACAGGAATTAGAGCATTGCATATCCAGTGGAGACAGGGGGCTGGAGTGGCATTAAGGTAGGAAGAATATAATCACCTGAACTGGACTGCAGCCAGGATAATGGTATTAATTTATTTCATGAAGTCAGATGTGCCAAAGCCTGGATTTTACATTTAAATGCAGAAGATGGCAAATCACAGCATCCTGATTCCATTCTTCCAACGTCTGGCTGGAATAAAAGCTCTCCTGATGGGTTCTCACCCCAGTGCCTACCGCCTGTGGCCACGACAGGAGACCTCACCCTGAGCTGTGTCTGGGAAGCCTGATCCTATCCCAGCACAAAGCCCTGAAGCCACGAATGCTCTGCTACGAGGCACGCAGCACTGAGGCAATGCCTGCATCATTTGGCCCAGAATAAAAGCACATCCCATTCCCCACAAGTCACCTGCAGGCACTACAGCCACGCTTGGTCACAAATAGTCACAAGCGAGCTCTGTAGAGCACAGCTCCTAGTTCGATCTGGTATTAATTACCCACTGTTCTGCAGAGATAAATGCTTAATCTGCTGGCTGTTGATACTGGAAAGGGACCAATCTACCCTGGAGTGGATATTATACAGGGGAACTTGGCTTCAGCTATGATCCCTGCTTCATGTGCTGTACAAATGTTCACCAGGTTGTAGGTAATGGATTTCATAGGGTGTACTGGATCTGTCTGTGGCAGAGCTAATCTAGAATAACACATGACCCAAGCATTCATTGTATCAGGTTTTTCCTCCTTCCCAGTATTTTTATTTCGCTGTAATATTTTGACTTCCATGTGGAATTTCTTTCAGACATTCACCCTGATTTCCTTATAGCTTACCAGCTTTCCTCCTCCACGACTGGTATCAAGGTGAACTTCCCAAGCAGCAGGGACCCTTGCTTATCTGCATGCCTTTCACTTTCTTCCAGGAGAAAGGCCACGAGATCTCCACACTGTTCCTCTGATTTCACACTCACCAGGAAGCCTAAATCAAGAAGTTTGCTTGTCAGGGAGAAAGAAGCAGTGCTGATGGTAGCAGGGAAGGAAAACTTATTCCCATTTCTGACCAAGCTGCCTTTCCCAGCTCTGCAAGCTGTCCCAGGACCGTGGTCCTGGGGGCTGCCTGCCTCAGCAGCTGGAGCCCCCCCAGTTGTGGTCACAGCCACTCTCACTGATGTCACCACATGCCAAGAGGGCAAACCAGTGTCTCAGACACACTGCCACCGGCCCTGCCACCCCAGCCAGGCATCTCAGGATGCAACAAGCACTCAAGGAGATGCCTGCCCCCAACTCTTCCCACTCCCAAATGGGCTTTCTTGCCTCTCCCCTGCTTGTCCTTTTCCTTCCAAGAGCAGTCTCTTGAGAAAGGTGAATTTTAAATCCAAATGCAGAAATAATTTTGAAATGGAGTATTATTGTACACAGAGTCAGAGCAGAAGTCTCAGGTACTTGGAGCACCAGTTTGCTCCCTGTTAACCACAAAACAGGTTCTCAGACCAGCACTTGGTACTGACCACAAATAGCTGACACAGGGGTTTGAATACAGGAAAGGTGACAAGGATTCAGTGCACAGTAGTGTATTTTTTCCTGATTTTTTTTTTCTTCAAAAATCAAGCTCTAGCTCAACACAACAACTACTGTTTAGCTTATGGTGATGCCTTGAAGTTCCCTGGTTATAGCTTTCTACACAAATCTGTGCAGAAGGGAGCTTGCTGGAACAACTGTGGGAGCTTGACACACAGAATGAGTTAAAGGTTTTTGCTGGCCTTGTTTGTTTTACCAAAGCAGCACTTCCAGTCATAGTCCAGAGAAAATAAACTTCCAGCCCACCTGATTAAAGAAGCTTGCCCTTGCCACTGTTGTGCTCAATTTAATCTGAAAGATATAGCAAGACAAAAAACTGTCATTAAGTTAAAAAAAAAAAAAAAAAGCTGATTTTTTTATTGGATTTTGTATTGCTTAACAATGAGGTACAGACAGGGGCTACTTGTTCCTATGCTGTTCGTGGGCAGCTTCATCTTGGCTGTGAGAACGGACTAATATCTATGAAGGAGAGAATGGGAGCTTGAAGCCTGGCCAGTGAGAGCCTGAGAAAGGGCTCCGGCAATCCTGGTTTGTTTTCCTTGCTCTAAGAAAAGAAAGGGGGTTCAGGAGATTAAAACACAGATCTCACAGTCCAAACTCCTGGGGTCTGTTCCCAACTCTGCTGCTGGCTTGAAGTGGAAGCAAGTAAACTTGCTTCATCTCTCTGCGCCCCAACACCTGCCAGGTAACACAGAAGAGATGCTGCTACTTCATCGTGTGAGCACGTTTGCAAAATGCAGGGCTCGGGGCCCTTGCATGAAAGGTGCAGAGGATGCACACACCGAGATGTCTGCTACAACCACAGTCATTGTCACAGCATTCCAGCCAAGTGCCACCTCTCCAGCTATGCTCCTCACAGCCCGCCAGCAGAAATCACAAATTATTTCCACCAGGAGGAATGAATATTGAGCTGCTCACATAATGCCAGAGGTCAGGGCGAAAGGCAGGCATATCAGGGCTTCCTGGCAAAGGGGAAGCCTGAGCTCATCCTTCTGAGGACAAATGCAGTGTCTGTAAGGATTGTACTACACCTTTGTCCTCAGGTGGAGCTGGCAGTGTGGAGTTTGCAACCATTTCTGGATGATCCTTCTCAGCAGTCTCATAACGATTTCCCTAATCAGTGACACACTGCAGCCTTGGTGCTGTAAAGTTCCTGAAAAAGCAAGAGCAAGCAAGCCCACCAAGAGCCTCTGGGAAGCCACCAAGCACAAGAGGATCAGCCATCCCCGGCTGATGGCTCCTTCTCCTACTGCCTCCTCGAGGCAGGGGAGGCAGTAATGGAAGCTGTAGGAAAGAAAGAAGGGAATCAGAAACTGGCAGTGAAAGAGAAGGTGAAGAGGGTACTCCAAGTAGATATTGTGCTTAAGGGTACAGGGGATTCCTGCTTCCTGACCTGCTGCTTGGCCATTATTCCATATGGAACATTCTCCAACGCGTTGTCTGATCTGCTCTTATGCTACCCAACTCCCTCCTTTCCAAGCAGGCAGGCAGGTCTGACAGCTCAAAAGTGTCATTGCTGAGAAACTGCTCCGATAAGCTGTGCAAAACTGCTTTATTTCATTACATTGGGTTCTGCCTAGTCTTGGGTACCCTTGGAAATCCCTAAAAATATACTTCCTGGCAGCAAGCTACTCCTTCCCAGCATCTACCACACACCACGGGCACACACACAACAGAAGCATGAAGCAGCACACAGAGAAGTGTCCACTATTCAGCAGCTGTCCCTGGGAAGAGCAGAGGCTCTGCTTTCAGCAGTACACGTGTTGGAGCTCCATGCCCTGTTCTCCAAACATCGCCACGGAGTATCCAGCTCCAAGAAACTACGCAGGCTGCATGAAATGCACCATTTGGTACTGGAACGTGGGAACTAGCTGTGATCCTGCGTGCTTTCCTCTTGCAACGTCCCCTCTCCGAGCTTTGATCTGCTGAGAGCACCAGGAGCAGCATTCCCTTGATTAGCAAAGTCCAGCGTTGGTCAGTTTGGTGATCCATATCCTGGGAGAAATACAGACAGGGTCTGAATGTTGGTGTGTGTTTTCCATGTCCCTCTGCCCCATCACAAGCCTGACAGCTGGGCACCGTAAGCTTGTGAAACCACTCGAGTCTCGGATGACCCGGAAAGGCAGCTGTCAGCCCGACGTGCCGTTCTGTGCTGGATGGCACTGGACAGCCTGAGCTGACACGCTTCTTGGAGCAGTCTGCACACAGCTGTTTGCAACAGCAGGCACAGCAAACCGTAGTGAGACAGCAGCCCGGGTTAAGGTGGTGCTCCCAGGGCCATCTTACCAGCTGCCTTCCCAGAACATGCATCCAGCACTCCTCCTGGGCTCAGAGGTGTTCGCTCCTCTCCAAGAGCTCCCTGTGACAAGCACCTTGGGAGCTGGTTTAGTTGCTACTTGTCACACATGGACCAGCTCCCTTTCTCCTGTGCCTTCCAGACATGTCTCTTGGATTGAACTCAGCAGGCAAAATACATGGGAATCCTAAAGTCCAGCTAAGCTACCATTCCTCTTCAGCATGGGGATGGTTCTCTTTTCCAGGACCACAGCCTGCCCTACTTGCCTCCTACTGTTCAGGGAGCAAAAGATGCCAGAACAAGACCATGTTGGAGGGGTGGCAGCAGAAGCCAACTTATCTTTGTCCCTAAAGCAGGACAGCAGCTTTGATTTCCGCACTGCTTCCAGCTTCCCAATTATTTGGGCAATGGGGATGGGTTCCTGACTGACTTCAGGGCTGCTCTCACATCTCCAAGGCTCCACTCTCTCCCTGTCTTCCTTCTGGTAGAGCAGGTTGCCCTGCGTAGGCATGAGGCAGGCTGCTGTAGAGAGCAGGGACAGCATTTGGTCCTCATTTCACCTGTCCTGGAGAAACACCTAGTGACAAGACACCGCCATGCCTCTACATGGCAGCGCCAGGTGGAGCTTGAAGCCCTAAAAGCAAAGCTCGTGTGTGCAACCTGCCTTTGTGTGTACATTCGGGCTGTTCAGACACATGGGGCGAGACATGAAACCCAAACAGCATCTGCAGGCAGCCCGCACATCCTTCTCAGGACATCCAGCTCCACAGAAGTCAGGCATCTTCAGTTCAGACTCGCCATCAAGTCAGCGATGGAACAGACACTACACAGCCGAAAAACCTCTTCAGCCACTGACAGCGGGCTTGATTCATCACCCAGTCAAAACAGAGAAGCCTGGAAGCAGCCTCATTTAGCACTGGCTGGAAAAATTCTTTACAAGAAGCTCCCAGACATGTTCAGTAAGCACTGAAAATCAAATCATCCCATGCCTGTGGCTTCTTCTCTCCTTCACTGCTGGCTACACCAGCCCTCGTTAATGTGCTGAAATGCCTGCTTTCTCCAGGCCACTAGAGTCAGACGGCGCGACAGCTGCGGTCTCGAGCTCATTACTGGAGCCCTTCAGAACCAAGAACTCCAGCAGAATGTCCAAGAGGCAGAAAACCAGGTGCCTGAAATGGAGAGAAGACAAATCTTAGCCTGGTCGGGGCACAGTGGAGCTGGGAGATCAGCTCCAGACGCAGAGGAGCCAAAGGAAGGCTTGTACCTTCCTCACGCAAGGAAGAAATACCCTGCCTGCCTTCCTGAGACAGACAAAAGATCTCATACCCTACAAGAAAGGTTTCAAGGGATGGTTCGGTTTCCCCCCACCTTTCCAAACCAGCAAGTGTTTGGAGCTGATGAGCAGCATAGGAAGCACAAATGCATCTCTTAGAGTGAGGTGGCACATGCACTTCTTTGCAGTTAATCACAAAAAACATCGCTTTTCGAATGTACAGAAACAGGTATGCAGAAAAGCACCATCTACAAATCCATGCAGCTCCCTAAGCTCTTCTAAAAACAACAGACTAAACCAGGATTTGGTTCTGCTTCCTCCCAGGACATCTACAGCCTAAACAAGCCTGACAACATAATTAATATGATTGACTCAATAACCTCCAGCTAGACTGAGGTCCTAAAACACACAACTTCGCGATAATCGTCCCAGATTCCCTTTGATAGCATACAAAGTCTAGCAAGATTAGCCAGATAGGCTCTGTGCCAAGAAGCTGGCAGCGTGAAACTCACAGCAGAGCCCTGAGCATAGCTTATGGGACCTGCTGCAAAGGTTGCTGAGGTAAGGAGACTAATCAACATACCTGTTGATAACAGGATGGCCCAGGGACTCCAGCACCAGGTTCCAGCTCATGCGACATTTACTGGTTCCAAGGATTTCTTGGATCACATCTGTCAACATCAGAGACAAAGCTTTAGGAACAGCACGTCTCCACTGTAGTAAAATGGGCTCAGCCTCCTCCTGGACGGTGCCAAATCAACGTTTGTGATGGTGCTCTGAGCCTGAGGCATCTCGTGCACGATATTACCACGAGAAAAAACATCCAGGGACAGGAACTGATTGCCAGGAAAGTGCTTCAGCCTGGAACAGCATACACTGGTAGCACTTTTTCATCCCCAAAGGATACTAAGGGCCTCTTACACTGCAGCAAGGAGTTAAAAGTTCAGGCTACACTCACATGGATTAGGCAGCAGCTGCTTCAATGCCAAAGGTCCCCATGTCAAACTTCAGGAGGAAAATCCAGTGCAGCTGCACTCATGATTTCAGCCCAGTGGAAAAGCCACTCTGTCATCTCTAGAGCAAGAAGCCAAGCGATTGCTGCATGCCACAGGCTGGCCTGAGCCCCTCCTTTCTGGAGTGGCTCAGCAGGAACAGCACCACCAGCACTAAGAAGGAATGTGTGGCAGTCTGCACCTGGGAACCACCAGGACACATGCCCTTACTCTCTAAGCTGGGCTGTTCCCTAAGTGGTTGTGCAAACTGCCTAGAACTGCGAAACTGTTGCTTTGCCTTGCAGGAAACCATCCAACCACAAAGGTTGGGAACATTTCTCAGTGCCTTGGCACAAGCAGACTCCATCATGGTAAATGTATTTCCAGAGATGCCAATGCACTGGAGGGTTCCCCAGCCTCACCTGCAGCTCCTGACCTGTCTCTGGTGCCCACTTACCAGGCAAGATCCCCATCAGGCTCTGCAGGGCCTGCTCTGCTGCTGCTTTCTTCTGCTCCTCTGTCCTGGCTGGTTTAGGCACTGCTGGTAAAACTCCTCCGGGCCAGATGGATTCCTGCAGCAGCTGGAGGTACTGGACCCAGCGCTGCGTGCAGGTCAGGTTCACCACCTGGACCTCCAGCCACCTGTGGCACAGGGCAGGAGAGAGAGATCAGAAATGTCAGACTTGTACCAGCTAAAGAGCTTTCTGCTGAGGCCACGGAGGGGAAATCACCTTGCTGGGCAAGTTAACATGCACTTTTCAAGTGTGTATATACATAAAATACATTTTCACAAGTTAAAATAGCTGAGTTTTCCTGTGCACCAGATTTAGGTAAATGTTTCCCATCTTACAAACACATGTGAAGTCACAAAGGAAAAGCAAAAAGCAGTGAAAAGCTCCATTGCCCTGCTGCCCATGTGAAATCAAATGAATTAACGTGTCTCCAGAGAGAGCCTGGCTAAGGGATATGACTGAAGTGATGTCCATGCACAAGCAGATGACAGAGCTCAAAGAGCTGGGAGAACCACCCCCATCTCCATCTTTCAAAACTGTTGCTTTAACTCTAAAACAATCGCTGTGAACGACTGGAAGGATGTGAACGTGGTCTGGCAACCAGCACTCCCCTCATCAGCCCCTCTGCTACTAAGAGAGTCAAGGGTGTCTCGTTGGGAGACCAAAATGCACCCTCCCAGGACGGTGAGGCATGAATATCCTGCTGCTTCACACTCATCTCCCTGCTCCCCTGCTGCCCAGCCCAGCCCTGTCCCCCTGTTGCAGGCAATGAACTCACTGCAGCTCCCATCCAAACCCCGTGCTGCTCATCTATTAAAAGGAAGCGTAGGTACCTGCCAACAAAACCACTCGCTGGCCCTCCTGCTGGGCCAAAGCGTGCCCTTTATATGGCAACAACCTGCAAATCCCAAGGCTGCGCCGCAGGAATGTCACTCCACAAAAGGGCCCTGACGTGTTTGCAGCCAGGGCAGGGGAGATTTGTCAACGCCACCCAAGCTGGTCAGGGGAAGTTTCTCCATCAATCAGGCGGACCCTCTTTCCAAGGTGTTAAATCACTTCCCTGTGCAGCAGCAAAGGCCATGGCCATCAGTCAGGACTCACCACCGCCTAAAATCTTTCCCCGCCAGAACAAGGGGGAGCCAGCGGCCAAATCCTTGACGCCACCGAGGTCAACGGGAGGGTCCCCGTTGACTTCTTGTGGTTGGGACTCGCCCGTGGCCGCCGTCCTCAGCAGCAGGAGATCCAGAGACAGAGAGGAGCGTTGGGCCGGGGTGGGCAGGGAGAAGGCTTGGATTTCCAGCACTTCCAGAGTCCCAGAGGAGAGGAGTCCGCGAGCGGGGCCAGGAGACCCGTTCCTCTTGGCAGCTGGCGTTCGTGCTTGCAATTCCGTCACCACTACGCCCCGGCAGCTCACAGTACATCCAAGAGCATGGGCCCTGCCAAGGCAAACTTTATTTAACCTGCGCTCTGCCAGACTGTCTGCATTCTTCTCAGGCGAGGCATTTGGGCCAAGGGCGTCTTTCCCCATGCAACCAGGGCAGCGCCACCAGAACATCAGGAATAGCAGCACCTAAAGGTAAGCGGGCAGAAGGGCAGGTACCGCTCCCTTCCTCAGCAGGAAACAAGATGCCTAGCTGCAGGCTGGTAAGGCTGCACACCTAGGAGAGACCAGCTGCAACAGCAAGGAGCGTTAAACCTGAACGGAGCCTCGGTGCAGCAGTGAGGCCAGCAAGCCTCAGGGCAGGGCGGTGCTGGTGCTGTGCCATCCCAGGAACAGCACTGGGGATGGAGACACACGGCCTTTACACCCCGTCTCGCCAGGGACCCCAAGTACTGATGCTGCTACAAGATAGTGCGAGAGATCCACAGCTTGGCTGCCACCAGAATAACAGGACGAAATGTCACGGCGCTGTCTTGTCTAGGAAAAGGCCACGTCTGAAAGACAATTGTTTAAAAGAGTTTATCTCCAGCAATCCGCAGAGTTTAACACCTTTGGATTGTGCAAAGCCTTCCAGCCATCCCCGACCAAATTAAAGTGCTAAACTGTGGCTCCTCGAGGGACAAGAGCTTTCATTAACATGTTTTCATATACAATCTGTTTTCCTAATTGAGAAAACATCTGACAGGCAACAGAAGTTCAGAGACTTGGGGACGGAGCTGCAAACAGAACAACCCTGCGTCTGGGGACAACGGAGCCAATGTTGACTTGAATTTCACCTCAGCAACAGTCACTTGTCATCCTTTAAAAGGTTGCAAAAGGCAAAGAACAAACTCTCTTCTTCTTAGGAACGTTCCTAAAATAGCAAAAATTCAAGCAAATAGCGCGGAGAGTGAAAGCTGAACTTCGAGAAGACAGCACACATTTCCAGACAGCTCAAGAGCAGACTGAGAAGTGACGAATGCTGGAAGGCCCCAAACAAACAACCTTCCATCTCTAGCTCTTTTAGTCCTATAAAGTCCCCAGGACGAGGTGACAAGGCCTAGAGGTAACACCTACAGATCTTATCCCGTGTGCATGCACTTGGGTTATGCACGTGCTTGCAGGTCTTCGTTCCCACAGCTGCAAAACACAGCAGGTGGATTTTCACTCCCTCTGGCAGCTCCCTGCCTTCCCGTTTGGGATGGGAAGGACAGGAAGGGCAGCAGCTCAGAGGATGGACACTCTGGTGCCCTTTGCCAGCCTACCGGTGTGCAGACCCATCCCAAAAGCAGTAGGAAGTGAGGAACCATCACATCGGTCCCTCTGGCTCAGCACCCTTCCTGCAAGAGCAGCTGATGCCCTCAGATGTTCCAAAAGAGATGATCAGCCTGAGCAGCATTTATTAAATGCCGAGGAGCAAGTTAATTCCTCAGCGCTCACAGCTCTATCTGCAACTCAGGAAGGCTCACACCTAACTTTACTGAGATCCTACCTGAGCAAACCCCAGGTTTCTGTGGCAAACTGACCTTTCCATCAGGCCTTGCTGCCCCAGTGCTAGGCCAGGCTTAACAGTTGACACTTCTCACACAGGAACTCCAAACACGTGGGCCCAAAGCTGACCTCCACCAGCTGATCACAGATGATTTTTCATACTATTAAAGGATGAAACATTTGAGATCCGTGTGCCACATCAAAAATGCACAACCCCCTGCTCCCAGGTAGAAATAAATCCAGTAAGAAACACAAATAGAGCTATCTTTTTTAAGTTACTATTTCCGTTCTGGTATTTCATGAAGAAGTAGCCTTAATAAGAAAGAAAGAAAAACAAACCCATCACCAAACCATCTCCTTACACTTCAGTGGAGACCAGAAATAGAGAGCAAGTGACCTCCTGGGCTCAGACGTTCAAATGCTTTGATAATGCCCAATGCAAAAAGGCAGACTGCAAAGGCTACGAGGTCCTGGCCGTTTGTCTGGAGGAGCATAGCTTGCCCATGCTGTAAGGGTCCTCCGTTTGAAATAGCTGCTGATGGAGGAATGAAATGGCTGCTAAAAAAGAGCTGATTTAATGCCATGGCTTAAGCTGGAACTCCAAGGTCAGCTGAAGGGGCCCATTAAGAGAGAACGGCAGAAATGCCCTGGGAATGAGAAACAAGGCCTGGGTGGTACATACCTTGGCTCTTCTCTGCCCCCTAAAAGTACCGGGGCTGCTAATGCAGGGCAGCCTAGATAAACAGAGTCAGGAAGGACAAAGCACTGTGTAAGGACCAGGGTTTACCTGGCTCCTCTAAGTGGCCTGCCCAGATGGTTCACGTGCAGAAGGAGAGCTCATCTCCATGGGTAAAGGCTGGAGAAGTTGGGTTTGTGTTGTCTGGAACAGAAAGAAGGACCATGAATGGTCCAGTGGACAAGAAGATATGAGTACTATCCAAACTTACACACATCTGCTCTGCGCTGATAAACCTCTGCTTAAAACTGCTAAATTCATTTGAGCTGAGGAATCTTTGGGTTAAGTATTCAAGAAAACCTTCTAACACTGATTGTGACTGAAATCTGAGGCAACAGTAACTGTGATTCCCCCCCAAACTGGGGGTTGCAAGGATTCAGACACACACAACCTGGAGCCCTTGTTAGGACGAAGAGGAAGATGGGAATGCCTCTACTAGTCTGCTTTAGCTGTATAAGTACAAAAAGCTCTATAAATACAGATGATTTGTGCAGAACAGTAGCAAGTCCAGCTCAACATCTACCACCTTCCACCCCAGAACAAGGCCCCCATTTCCCCGAGGTCAGTTAACACGGCGTGGCTAACCAGGAGCTCAAAAAGGGCCTGTGAGACCAAGGTAGTGAAAAGGATTTAAGAAGAAGGCAACATCTGGAAATGCACAACGTAGTCAAGCATCTGACTCCTATGAATTCAGGAAAGGCTGATATTTAAATCACCAGCCCATCCCTCCCTTCTCAGTACTTGTCCCCCAAATTCTTCCCCAAATTGTGCCTCAAACCAGAAGAATATCCTTAGCTCAAGGGCTCACAAAGAGCAACATTTCAATGCTTTGACTGTAAAACATTTCTTAGCAAAGCTTATAAAACCGAAGGAACAGCTGCAGCAGGCAGTTAGAAGCATGGAAAAACACAAAGGGAGCGCTTTTGCCCCCAGGCTCAGCTTTTAGCACCTGCTACTCCAGCCCACGTTCACCTTCCCCGCACGGCCGCCAGCAGCAACACGTGCAGCTGAGTGCTGGCACGCTCTGCTCAAACACCTTCAGAGCAAACCCACACTTGTCCAGGCCATCGGTAAACTCTTTGGAGAGGAAGGAAATAGAAAAGAAAAAAAAAGAAAGAAAGCAAAGAAAAAAGCCCTCCATAAATCAAACATGAAGCATCCCGAGTCCTTTTAAATTTCTGGCCAAAGGCACACACGCAAAAAGTAAACTATCCTTCTCGCCTTACTGGAAACGTTCCTCTCCTGCTGCCCTATAAAAAGTTTACAATTGTATATGCTACGAACAATGCGTCCTGTACCCCTGCCCGAGCACACGGTGATGAAGTGTTTGACCAGTGAGGCAGCGGCCCCGTGGCCGAGTGCCTGCCCCTCGAACAGAGTGTCTTGCCAGCCTCACACCTCCCAAACCCAGCGCGGCCAAGGGCAGCACACCGGAGGAAGGAAGAAACAAACGGAGCTGCGGGGAGCTGACCCAGGTAGCGTT